ATTTGTAATATCGGATGACGTCACTTCTATGGACGTTTTATGCGTAGAAATTACGTTTTCGCTCCCACTCCTAAACTTTGATTCGATTTGTCTAAGTTTTGTAACCTTATACAACAAAATAAAAAAATACGTATCTGATATTTTTTCATTATCTAACTGACGTACTAATTAGATTTCTAATTTTTATACCCTGTCATAATCGCTATTAAAATTACAATGTTATTGCGTTAGCATTAATTGTGAAAAGTATTCAGCAATCATCAATATTCCAATAGTCGTTATAACATTATTGTAATGGTAATACAGCATTTAACAAAAATATTACAGTAAAAATTATATTTCCGAAAGCTAAGGCATATAAATTATCATTTACATTGCACTAACTCAACATTACAACAAACCAATATACCATTTAACCAACCACGAAGCCATAAAATCTTTCAACATAAAAATCTAACAAAAATTCCGTAAAAATCCAAACTCATGCAACTCCTACCATGCGAATACCACACTAGGTATAATTAAAAGTAAAAAAAGTGTTGCAGCATTATATAACAGTTATATATGTGCTATATGTAACTCGTTAGTTAAATAACGAGAAATTATGAGGAATATTCATGAAAAACAAGAATTGCTATGTTACTGTAGGTACTTACGTCACTCGAATACTGAGTTGAATAATTTCGTTCACATTTATTATGTCGAAGTGAAAAAGATTTTTATACATACATACATTTATATTACGACTTTTAATCCTGAAAGACATAAACAGAGAGCCACTATGTAACCACTTTCAGTTTTTTCAGTACTCTGTCCTATATGTAATGTTCTGTTCTGGATCTTCTTATACAGTAAAGAATCGGCTCCAAAACCTTGCTTAGCAGTCGCTTGCTGGTTGTTTTATCATTGAACCGAGTTAGTTGACCAGAACCACGAAATTACCTCACTGAATATTAAGCTAACTTCAATAATTTTGTTGTTTACACGTAGTATATTATGTCAAAATTAAAAAAGTGTTCAGTTGTTTGAAAAGTTATTTTTGGTATGTGCTTGTAAGTGTATGTTTTTCTTTTTACTTTCTACTGCATTTTTACTTGGATCTACCAATTAGTCTTACAGATTTTTTTGTGTTTTCTCAGTTATAATTTTGTTTATTTGAGTTTATCTCACTTGTTAATCTTGATTATTTTTTCTGGTTTATTCGATTTTAAAATAAGTTTGTATAATAATTTAACTTAATTTTTATGTGATTCACTTTTATTAAAAATTCTTAGCTGATGTATAACATGCCTACAATAAAGTTTGAAATTAATTAGTAATCGTTCATACATTTCTGCTTGTACTAGTTCAATGTATAACAGCGGGGTGAGTTTAGCTATATATATACTATTTACTGATATACGTTGAAGTACGAACAAGTAAGAACATAAACATGTAACTACATATTGTTTATGTTTTGAAAACAAAAATTAATTTTAAAGTAATCGCGTCACAAAAATATGCAACATTTCAACTGAAATTATATTTTACAGAAGAATAATTTTCATGGATGCTTGCACTTAAGGTTTTTTCGACTTTCGCAATTAAACCCGTTATAAACAGTTTTTAATTAGCATAATCACGATAAAAACGTAATTATTTTTAGACAATTTATCAAAGGCTTATTAGCATAAACTGGCTGACTGAAATGGAAGTGTTAATCGATTTTAATCACTTTTATTACCCACCATGTAGTTAGAAGGTGTCTATTACAACACGCTATATAAAATTTTAGACTAGATTTGTATTATATTGAAAACTTTGTAGTAAAGAACACAATGCATTCACGGTTTTGTTCCTCGAAAAAGTAAGGAGTTTGCCAGATATGCTATAAGTTACATAAATATTGGTTTAGGTGTCATGAAGAGCCAAGTCTATAGCTATATAGTGTGGGAAAGCCATGCTTCGGCACGAATGGGTCGGCTCGACCGGAGTGATACCACGGCCTCATAGAAATCCGATGTGAAGCAACGCTTGCGTTGGGTTTCGTCGTGAGAGTAAGGTTACCGGAGGCCCAATTATCCACGCTCCTCCCTACCCCAATCTCCCCAATCCCTGAATCCCCAACAATCCCAAAAAACACCGGTAACGCAATTGTAACGCCTCTGGTGTTCCAGGTGTCCATGGGTGGCGCCGATTGCTTACCATCAGTGATCCGTGTGCTCGTTTACAGACTTGTCCCATAAAAAAAATATAGGCATTTTTTGAAGAGGGGAAATTAGAGAGAGAGAGAGTCAGACTCTTATTGACTAAAAACCACCACGTTCCTAATCCTGCTTTGTGCCGGAACCGTGGTGATCCGCTAGGCCGGCCACAGCTCCTGCTGTATAGGCGACATTCTAAACAGTGCCAATTAATTTTTTTTAATAAAATTTGCCCAGCCTGGTCAGATCACTAACTTACGGCAGTAACAAATAATAACAAACAAAAAGTCAAAACTAAAAAGCAAAAAATTACTATTATTAGTACTGATAGGTTACCCACCCACTGATAGGTTAGAAGTCGTCGTGTGAAGACCTCCTCCTTTTTTGAAGTCGGTAAAAAATTTATGGACTGTCTGATGGTAAACGATTTCTAGAAAGAACTATAAAGTGTTACGTTGTCCTGTATCGAAATGATATTAGTAGCATTACAAAGTGAAACCTGCGCCGGCGCATGCAGTGAACGAAAGCGTTAGTTATTAAACCACGGGCTTCTGCTGATACCGTGGGCTACATAGATATATAGTGCTGGATGTAGTACTTTTTTTTTTAAGGGGGGAAAATCATCGAATGACTGCTCCCGCCTGGGTGAGGCGGAAGGGAGTGTCAGACTCTTACTGACTAAAAACCACCCCGTTCCTTCTCCTGCACGTCGAGCCGGAGCCCCGGTTACACGTTAGGTTCTCCGCGACTGGATGTAGTACTAAAGACAAAAAGTTAAAAGGCACTAGTACCTATAAGAGTTTTTTTTATATTTGATGGGCCGACGTTTGGCCACTATCTCGCCCGGTGGTAAGATTTAAAGATTCTTACCTTTATTGTTCTTTTCAAACGAAATATTCAAAGGTCAAAGGTCAAAAGTCCACTGCCACCGTAAGACTACTATCGGTTGCGCTGCAGCGCTTATACACACATGCACACGCATATTATTATCCGTGTGCGTACGCGTGCGTGTGTTTATACGTACGCACACGTTTTTATGCACATTAATATGAAATTACTTACGCATTGCCGTGTGAACATCACTCACGGTGGCCGTGCCTTTTACCTTTGACTGTATATATCCCAATATGAGATAGGAGCACAACGTCACGTTTTTAACTCCCAAAAGGAGAAGCTAAGCCCATATATAATGTTACACCAACTTTTCCCAGTTATATTATAAATCTCGTATGTTAGGAAGAGTTTCTGTCACCATATACCGGGACTATTCCAAATATAGGTACTGTTATTATTGAGATATGTTCGAAAAATCAACAAAAATCACCAACAGTACTTTGCTAACCAAGGAATCAAAGATCCTGAAATAATAAGAGAGCGAAGTGTCAATTAACTTTTCGCGTATCTAAAACGCGGGTCTACGAGACACAATGTATTTTATATCGTGCCTCATATGAAAGAAAGAAAGAAAGAAAATCCATTTATTTCACACGTAGACAAGAATACAGGTACACACACAAAATATCGGTGCATTCGAGTGGTTAAATAAAATCCTTCTATGAAATCTACATCTTTGTAACTTTGTATGTAAGTTTCACTTGCAAGTGCATCACGGTGTAATATTAGATCGTAAATTGGAAAATCGACCACAATCTGTGGTTTATGTGACGCTACTTGTACTGTGTTCAGTAATAGATGCGGAAAAATATCGTTTACTAGCTTCTGCCCGCGACTTCGTACGCGCAATCCCGTTTGTCTCATTGCCGTAGGATTTTCAGGACTTTTTTCTGTCATAAGAACCTTCTCTTGACGATAACAAATACAATAAAAAATCAATCAATCATCAATTACTTGAAAACACGCCATTGCGTGAAAACGGGAAACGGGTTTCATTTTATATATATGTATATGTATAGATAAATCGAAATATATCGTCAAGTGGCAAGTATTTAGTATGAGAAGTGTTATATGAAGAAGTTACCATATTTTTACGGCCCGGAAGTTTAAGACGCCCGCTTCTCATGTACGAGAGTGTGGTGTCGAAACCTACCAATGGCAAAGTATCAATGTAAGTTTTTCAAAGTTGTTTGTACTTTAAAACATTATTTAGACATCACTGACAAACTGTGAAGGAAAATATCGTAAAAAAACTTTCTAATTATAAGTTTGAAATCGTCAACCCGCATTATGCTATCGTGGTGATTAATGCTCTAAGCTTCTCCGTGTGTTAAGAGGCGTTTGGTCAGCAGTGGCCGCTTATGGGCATAACGACGACTATGAAGTTATATGTAACGAGATTATACTTCGAGCACATTAATATTATACATCATATACATTATACATCAATTTAAAACTCTGCTAAACGAAATAACGACGTGGTTTAGCTACAAATTTTACTTCATACAAAAGACATCAACGAGTTACAGTTATGACAGCGCCTCTAGCGGCAAAATATATAAACTGTACCCCGCCATCTAGTATCGAGTAGGAACAACTATTCTACATTCCTTTGCAAGTTAATTGTTATAAAACTAGTCCATAATTTAATTTTGTATTAATTCTTAGTAAGTTTCCAATATTAGACAATATTACCTAGTAGTTATTTGATATTCTCACAAAAGAGAACACTATTTTCATTAATGCATTATTGCCTTAATATTTTTATCTTTCTTGACGAGGCAAAACTTAAACGTTAATGCATAAAACGAAACGTATAAACGCAGCTGTCATTGTTGTCATAACAACTGCATTTATTTTGTGTTTTGATCGAAATATAAACGTTTTTAATCAAATAATATCAGAATATCATTACAGAAAACTATGTCGGATATTGCAAAAACTAGTAAAAATGAAGACACGGCCAATAACAACACTACTACAGAACCGAAACCAGCAGATGACAAACAAATTAAACTAAATAACACGTTAAAAGACAAACTTCGGAAATACATCAAAAAGTTGGATGGTAAAAGAACCTTATTTCACTTGAGGACGTGATACATATTACTATTATGATATTACATAGTTTTTCCCGCTAAGACATGATATAATGCAATAAAAATTTGAATTTGACTACGTTATGTCAATATTTCCTGAAGGGTATAAACTGGGTGTCTTCAAGGGCCGAGTGAATAAGTAGCTTATGGGACGACGTGCTCCTTCGTGGACCGCATCATCGCTTACCACCAGGCGAGATAGTGGTGAAATACAAAAAAGAATTGTCCCACAACAACCAACAACACAGGTTGTGATGTGCAACTTCTTTCTCGTAGTCTAATTAGGTTTTTGGGCTTGACTCTAAATCTGAGATATATTTTGACAGATATTGTAAGACTAGTATCCATAAGAGTATCAAAATTCAGTAAATTAAACATTGTTTCAACACAAACTAACTACTTACACCTTAAACCCACAGAAACAGCCACAAGCATAACAAAAGAAGAAAGCATAAAACTAGAAGTTGACACATTCAAACAATTATACAAGCCTAAGCTAGCGGGTAAAGAGGACTCGTACAAAAACATACCAAAATTCTACTTTAAATTACCGAAACCTGATGACACACTCGCTCAGAAACTAAGAGAGGAGACGAGAGCTCAATTTTTACAGAAAAAGAGCAAAGAACTGCTTGATAACAGTGAATTGAAGCATCTATGGAGTTTGTTAGAGAAGACCAATGGGAGCTACAATGTCACTAACAATGATGAGTTAATAATTGACTATTTTCAATTTAAGAAGATCAGGGATGAAGCGGGGCCTAAATATAAGTGAGTATTTGCTTTGTTAATTGTTTAAATTCTAGACTATTTTTGTGTAGAACTAATACATACATAGATTTTTAAGGGACGAAGAAAAACCACATCGTTCCTACTCATGCATTTCGAGCCCGAGTCCGGTAACCTGTTAGGTTCTCCGCGGCTCCGTATCGGCATCAGCCTTTTATTATTGTCCAGTATTTCCCAAAGTGGACTGTAACTGTACAGGGGATGGGACCAAAATAATGATTTTCAAAGTTACCGTTACATTAAATAAGTTTGGCAACCTCTGGTCTAGTCTCTAGTAAATATACGGACAAGTTTATGGTAGGCGAATAACCAACTGAATCTTAAGTTTGAAATATGTAAAATAACACCTCTTCTTTTTATATTTGAGTTAAGTAAGCAATGAAATTGAGACCCTTTACTAGTTATATTATTCTAATTAAATAAAGATTAAATAATAAATATTATTAAATTTCTTTATTTCTCCTCATTTAACAAATTTTTTTATAATATATTTTTTATGGCGATGAGAGGAGCTGGAGTCTGTGTTACGCGTAAAATACCTGTATTACAAATCTTCAAATAAACATTTAAACTAATAAGTAATTGTCTTCCATCTGGCACTTAAACTTTGTTTCAATCTTTGTTCAATTTGTAATGTCCCACTCCAAATCTATTACAACCTCATCTTCAAGACTGGCTCTGTTTCAGACCATATTTCACAGCAGAAGTATTCGGTCGTCTACAAGCAGCTGAGGGTGGTGTCGGTCGGGTGCGGGCGGTGTCACTGTTTAATTATGTGATGCGCAGAGTATGGCTGCAGCAGACGAGGATCGGACTATCCTTGTATGATGTTACAGGGCAAGGGTACCTGACTGAACATGTGAGTTGTATGATGAATATGCCAATAGTTTTATTTGTTACTGTATCAATTAATTGGAAAAGTATTTTTAATAAAATATTATCTTTACTAACTAATCTACGTCTACGCCAGAATGATTTAATTTATGGTATAAGCGGGTAAACGAGCTGACAGATCACTTGATGGTAAGCAATCGGCGTCGCCCATGGACACCGGGAACACAGTGACCAGAGGCGTTGCAAGTGCGTTACCAGCCTTTTGAGATTACGAATTTAAGGATGGTTGAGGATTCAGGGATTGGGTGAATAATAGGGTGGGTAATTGGCCTCCTTTAAGTTAATAATGGTAAAGGCATTGTTGATTAATGAATTTAATTAGTTATCGACCGAATACTCAAAGGCTACTCAATTTTAACTAGTACTTAAATATCGTGCTATTTCTGTCATTTTACAAAGAATTTGTAGCGACAGAACTATATTTAAGCGCGACTTAAAATTGAGTAGCGTTTGAATATTTCGACATAAATCACATCAACCGCTTCATTTCTCTGCACTTCCCTATGGGTCCGCCATTGACTGTAGTTTTTTATGAAGAAGTTAAAAATAAATAAATCAACTCTGCCTAAAACTCATTGTTAATACCAACTTATGTGTAAAATTACATACATACATACATACATACATAACTTCACGCCTGTCTCCCATGGGGGTAGGCAGAGACTAAGGAACGCCAATTACTACGATTCTTACATACCTCTTTCGCTTCATTAACAGTCATCAATCTTTTCATGCATGCTCGTCTGTTAAGGGTACTTTTAATTTGGTGTAAAATTAGTAGTTGTATATAAACTTATGTGTAAAATTTGAAGTTGTATATAAACTTACGTGTAAAATCTGTACGTGTCACCTGTTTTAGCGTGTGAAATAAAGTTTTTCTTTCTTTCTTCTTTCAACTTACCTCTCAACTATGTTGACAACAACTAATAAGAGTTACTGTCGATCGCAATCCTGTTGGAAGACAAAAAATAATAAACTTTGTTTACAATTGCTTTACCTTAATACATTGAAATTTTATTGTGTAAAGTTTCAAATCTCAAGCACAATATTTTTATGTAACAACCGCTAAATATATTCTTCCAGGACCTAGAAAGCTACATAGCAGAATTAGTGCCGTCCCTGGCAGCGCTGGACGGACTGGACTCATCCTTCAGTTCGTTCTATGTGTGCACGGCTGCCAGGAAGTTCCTGTTCTTCCTCGATCCACTGCGAGTGGGCAGGGTGAGGATACGAGACGTGCTGTCCTGCTCCTTCCTTGATGATTTATTAGAGGTGAGAAAGAAAAATAAAATCTGATGGGTGCGCACACCAACCAGTAATATAATTCCTAATTTTTAATCCACATTAAACCCTGACCTAGTACAACAATTATTATTGTGTAGCAAGTGGAACACAATCAGTGATACGTTACGTACAAATAGAAGAATAAACTTAATAATTTCCGTTGCCATCTCCACTAATGTAATGGCTCTCACCAACCACAGTAATGCCATCCTATTAATAATAAAAAACCACCCTCTAAACCATATTTTAACTAGAAGTTACTTAGCGTAAGGCAGCACCTAAACCAAACCCTTACCTACCTTTAAGTATCATTATTATATAGGTGGCTGAAAGCAAAAATGTCGTCAACTATTAATCTCAGCTGTAGGGTTTCATTCATTATTATGTTTTTCGGCTTACTCACGTAAATATTTGACGAGGAACTCGACAGTGTAGCAGCGCGACAGTCGCCGCGTCGCAGGTCGCGGAATGCTGCTCATGAATATGAGCCTCTAGCATGGCTTGAAACTAGTCGAGTTCCTCGTCAAATAATTACGTGAATAATGTTGGAATACTCAAACGCTTTTTTTTAAGTATATATAATTTTATAAATACTTTTTATAAAATTATATATACTTTTTATATATATCTACTTTTTATAAAATTATATACAAATAAATAATATATACAAATAATTTTAAGTCGCGCTTAAGAATAGTTCTGTCTCCACAAATTCTTTGTAAAATGACAGAGATGGCACGATATTTAAGCACGACTTAAAATTGAGTAACGTTTCAATATTCCGGCATAAGCCGGAAAGCATAATAATTAATTTAGTATGTCTCCGAAATGCTTCATTAAAATTTAAAAAGAAGTTGGTAAAAATGGGTATTACCTTCAATCCTAAATTTTTTGTTAATTACCTTTTGTTAAAAACCTTTTGTTAATCCCAAGAGCACAGTTACCATAAAATATTCTAATAATATTCCAGCTCCGCGAAGAAGACTTACCGATGGAGATTCAGGAACAGAATTGGTTCAGCGCGGCGTCGGCGCTGCGCGTATATGGACAGTATCTCAACTTGGATAGGGACCATAATGGCATGCTCAGCATCAACGAGTTAGCTGGGTAAGATCTTATTGTAATATTTATTTATTTATACATAACATCACGCCTTTTATCCCCTAAGGGGTAGGCAGAGGTGTACATTATACCACTGTACAATGTAACACCCACTTTTCACTATTCATGTTATGAGTCCCACGTAATAGGGGGTGAGCCTATTGCCATATATTGGGCACAATTCCAGACTCGGTGCTACTACTGAGAATATTTAAAAACGCAATAATACTTTGCCCGACCCGGGAATCGAACCCGAGACCCCTTGCCGAGTCGCACTTACGACCACTCGGCCAACGAGGCAGTTATTTATTTATAGTAATAGCATAATAGTTATTGGATGTTTGGTCATAAGTGTGGTTGTTGAACTAAGTAGATTTTAACCCTATCCTTTTACATTAAAGTTGAAAATCTATTGGATTACTAGTTCTACGAGTTCTAGTACAGTCAACAAGGTAATACCTACTTAAAAAAATATTTGTCTAAATATGAAAATGCGAGTAATTGGTCGCTGTAGCAGTTAAGAGGAGACTTATTGTTTAGTTCATGGTTTTATTGTTTGTGTGTAGACAGTGTTTTTGAGATAAAATTGTCATTTAAAATTATACATTAAAATCAACCACTTTAAATTCCAATTCCATAAACAGTTAATTAATCACTACAAAAAGAATAAAGTAATCCTTACTAATATTATAAATCAGAAAGTGAGTTTGTTTGTTTGTTCCGCTTTCACGCCGTAACTACTAAACCGATTGCTTTGAATTTTTGCAGACGTAAAGTTAGAAGTCTGCATTAAATAATAGGGTACTTTTTATCCCGGAAAATTTTGGTATTCCCGAGGGAAAACAAAAGTATTGGTATAGATGGCGCTGTGTGTATTGGTATATGTCACAGGCTACTTTTTATCCTTTTGTGACGCGAGCGAAGTCGCGGGTAAAAGCTAGTAAAGTAATAATACTAATAATTCGTTTACCATCTTCCCTTTCAGCTACGGCTCCGGTACATTAACTCGAGCGTTTTTACAGCGAGTGTTCCAACAGTGTCTGACTTATGACGGGGAGATGGATTACAAGACGTATCTAGACCTAGTTCTAGCGCTAGAGAATAGAAAGCAGCCGGCCGCCCTAGCGTACCTGTTTAGAGTACTAGATATTAACTGTGTCGGGTATCTCGATGCTTTTACCTTGAATTATTTTTTTAAGGTAAGTTGACCGTGTTGGATTGTCGTAATTTCATTTTCGTTTTTCTTTTCTTTTTTAGAAACGTTGCCCCACTCTAGAATTGTAATAATAAATCCAATTAAATATTTAAATGTAAAAAATGGATGAAAAGGAATTTTATCATAATTTTTCATTTTCTCCTATGTCGTGTGTACGTTTACAAACATGCACATAACACTCAGATCCGAAACAACAATTTGTGGATCACACAAAGAGTTGTTCCGTGCGGGAATCGAACCCGCAGCACGCTGCACGGCAGCCGGTTGCCCAACAAACAACACTTTGTGTGATCCACAAATTGTTGTTTCTGGTCTGGGTGTCGTGTGTATGTGGACTTGTATGTTTGTAAACGCACCCATGACACAGGAGAAAATCCTAATGTGGGGCAAAGTTTAAAATAAAAAAAATTGAAACTGGATCGTGACATAGATCGTAAAAAGAAGTGTGCACTTCTGTTATTGCTTAGGAGATATAGGAAAAAGAACAAAGATAATTTTGGGAAGATAAGATTTTGATGCGCGATGCAAATCAATTCGCAAGTTCTTGCAATGCGAAGAGGGAGCATTTTTGCAATGCGACGTCGCATCGCAGTTTTGTATACGAGCCCTTACCCCCAAAAGGGAATATTAACTTTAATATTTAATATTTACTTTAAAATAAAGTAATAATAACTACACTACCTTTAATCTTCCACAGGCAATACAAGAACAAATGATAGCTCACGGCGCGGAACCAGTCAACTTTGACGACGTGAAGGACGAAATATTCGACATGATCCGACCGGAGGACCCCACAAGGATCACCCTCCAGGATCTGATCCGCAGTGGCCATGGCCACACCGCGGTGTCCATCCTGCTGGAGCTGCAAGGGTTCTGGGCATACGAGAACAGGGAGGCGCTCGCCGCCGCCGGGGACCACGCCTGACATACTGGACAACGACTCCAGTTCAATGGGGATCGGTTTAAAATATAGACGGTTTAAACAAAGTTACGAACACTTTGTTCGTGGTGGACTCGAAATTATTTATTGGATTGTTGCCATTAATAGTGATTGATGAGAAAGAATTAATGTAAAAATTAGTAGTGTGTGAATTTGAAAACGAAAGTTCGTAGAACTAGCGATTTCGAGTTTGTAGGCTTATCTAGGCATTTAAAAATAAATAGCAAACTAGTTTTGGTTTTAAATTTATAGTGATAATACCAGTGAAAATGTATCTATATAAATAAAAAAGAATTTCCGTTCGTTAGTTTAGCTAAAACGGCTGAACTGATTTGACTAATTTTGGTTTTGAAATGTCTGTGGACGTCCAGAGAAGGTTTATAAAGTGAGAAAAACATTTTTAGGCGAACGATGCTTGCCAGTTCAGCTAGTTATTCTATAAAAAAGTGGATGTTATGTTTGTTTCTGTGTGTCTACCCATGCGGGGAAAAGTGCATGTTATGCGAATTTTTGTGATTGCTTAACTCGTCGAGTACCGTATTTATAGACACAATTAAAGAACAATAGGTCGCGGTCACCGGTGACCGCTTGGTGTTTGACAGATTAAACTGTCAAACACCAAGCGGTCACCGGTGACCGCGACCTATTGTTCTTTAATTGTGTCTATAAAACCGGTACTCGACGAGTTAAAGCAGGGTGAAAAATGTTGAATTTCGTATTGTTGTTTAAATTCTATATGTAGATAACATTAGCTAGGTCTAAAAAAATTAACCGTTTTTTATGGGATAAGCCAGTAAACGAGCAGACGGATCACCTGATGGTAAGCAATCGGCGTCGCCCATGAACATCTGGAACACCAGAGGCGTTACAAGAGCGTTACCGGCCTTTTGAGGATTCAAGGATTGGGGAGACTGGGGAGGGATAATTGTTCCATTAAATTGTCAAAATGTATTTATAAAAATAAAACACAAAATATGGATAAAAATAATGATTATATTATACTCAACATTGAAAATATATAACATTCTGTATATAAAATGAAATAACAACATGATTCTCTTCGTAAATATAAACATTAATACATATTATGATGTATAATTATTTGGTTTTTTATTGTTGTACTTAATTAATTCCTTAATACTTATGTCTAAGTTGGAAATATTGTTATACTACTGATACTTGACTGCCAGCAAGAAGCTCGGGATTGAGGTGGTGTTGTTTTTATTTTCTTTTACGAATTCATGGCAGTTTAGAGATACAAATCTAGATTTGTATTTAGTCTTTATTATTAATATTAAGACTTGCTCTATGAAAATGGTAAAAATAATATGATACTACTGCCTATCCATAACATAACATCACGCCTTTTTATCCCTGAAGGGGTAGGCAGAGGTGCACATTGCGGCACTTAGTGTCACTGTACAATGTAACACCCACTTTTCACTATTTATGTTATGAGTCCCATGTAATAGGGGGTGAGCCTATTGCCATATACCGGGCACAATTCCAGACTCCGTGCTACCACTGAGATTTTTTTTAAAAACCTAGTAATACTTTGCCCGTCCCGGGAATCGAACCCGAGACCCCTTGCCCGGCAGTCGCACTTGCAACCACTCTACCAATGAGGCAGTCTGTCCTGCTATCCTGCCTATCCATTTGATGGATAAAAACCGTGACTTTTATATAGTAAAGTAAAAATTTTATTCTGTGGAGCTGAATACTTTAAATGCATCTGTAATATATGAATAATGGATTTTGATCTTTGTACTATAACAGTTAAGGCACGATTTCCCCTACACAGACTCCTGCGCAGCTCTGTATTCGTACACGCTGCCTCGTTCTAGGAAGGCGCTGGGTTTGCTTCCTTCTTGGTCTCCTTCAGAAGCATCTGAAGCTGGTCCATAGCCACCGCCTCCAGGGGAGTTCATTATGTATTTATCCTGAAAAAATATTGTTATGATAATGAATGATTTTTTTTTTCGATTTTTTTTTATGGCATAAGCCGGTAAACGAGCAGACGGATCACCTGATGGTAAGCAATAGACGTCGCCCGTGGACACCTGGAACACCAGAGGCGTCACAAGTGCGTTAGCGGCGTTTTGGGGATTAGGAGTTTGAGGATCGTTGGGGATTCAGGGATTGAAGAGATTGGGGAAGGGGAGTGTAATTGGGTCTCCAGTAACCTCACTCACACGACCAAACGCAACGCAAGCATTGTTTCACGTCGGTTTTCTGTGAGGCCATGGCATCACTCCAGTCGAGCCGGCTCATTCATGCCGAAACATGGCTCTCCCACACTTAAAATTTTATTGGAACTTATTGGAACGAGCTGCATATTTTGCGAAGTGGCTGGGCAAGTGGCAGATGTATAACGTGTTACAGAGTCGATTTCCGCACAGGACAATTTGTATGATCCTCAAATTGTTCTTCCGGGTCAGACCCGGACCGGACGGAGTTGTGATGTGTGTGTAAACTTGTATGCTTGTACCCACGACACAGGAGAAAATTTTAGTGTGGGGTAACGTTACATTTTATTACGTCAAAGTCAAAGTCAAAGCATTTATTTCAATTAAACCATAGTTTGGTACTTTTAAAACGTCAACAAATACAAAATAAATAATAGTCTGACAGTCAGTCCGTCAGTGAAGCTAGATGAAGCTAGGTACTCATACCAAAAAGTAGATTCGAATGGAGAAGAACGAGCAAGAAACTCCATTCGTTACTCTTTTTAAAAAAGTATGTAAAAGTACGTTACGTATTAATCAATTTTAATGTATATTCGCTAAGGCTTACCCCAGGGAATGCCTGTACAGACGCCTTGCCCCCCAAGTTAATGAGTCGTCCGTCCACACGTTGTAGCAAATTCAAACCACGCGCGCCCGCCTCGCCACCTGGAAATCAAGTTTAAATTTAAATGCATTTAAATTCAGTTTATAGTGATATACACTACTGAGGGCTCGAAATAGTAAGTTTTCTTTATTTTTATTTTTTTTAAAGGGGGGGAAATCATCGAATTACTGCTACAGCCTGGGTGAGGCGGGAGGGAGTGTCACTCTTACTGACTAAAAACCACCCCGTTCCTTCTCCTGCACGTCGAGCCGGAGCCCCGGTTACCCGTTAGGTTCTCCGCGACTCCGAATCGGCATCGGCCCTATTGGGCCCCATCTGTGGTGGTCTGATGGCTCTTTGAGGCGCGCGCGGAACGCGACGCGCCGTACGCTCGGGTGAGATAGTAGGCTAGATCACTCTTTTGCCTCAAATTATCAACAAAAATAATTATACCTACCATAAAACACACTATTGGGATATGAAAAAAGCCAAACTATCACACATACAATGTTAATAAGGTTTGTAATACTAGAGAAAAACAATAAGAGTATTTTTTGACACTCATCAACATCGACAGCCTATAACTGGCCACTGCTGAAGTGCTGACCAAAGACACATTCTCTCACACGGATAATGGTTAAGCATTAATGTTTTGTCTATCGGAACGAAGTTTTAAGTGAGACACAACGTGTGTTTCTACTGTGTCTCCTATATCAACAGACTAGAGGTTAATTACCACGCTTGCTCATCGCGGGTTTTGCGAAATCAAACCTAAAATTAGAAATCATAAGTCACGGTTTCCTCGCGATGTTATCTTTCACCGTTTGCCAGTGGTGTAGATACATTTTGACATTGATTTATATAGTTTAGCATTAACTGCAACATATAGACGTACCATTCATCCCATACGGTTGGAAGGCTCGTCTCTCAGTGAGTACTGAGAGCTGCACGGTGCGACGGAACACTAACTCTCTGATCACACCGTCACCGCCTCGCCAACGACCTGCGAATTAAGTTTTTTTATGGAATAAGGCGGTAAATGAGCAGACGGATCACCTGATGGTAAGCCATCGGCGTCGCCCATGGACACCTGGAACACCAGAGGCGTAACAAGTGCGTTACCGGCCTTTTGGGGATTAGGAATTTAGTGTTCCGGATGTGGTGCGGTGAATCCGCAAGGGCGTCCCGGGTCACAACCACAGGCAGAGGAGGAACACCGCGGTGGTTTTAGCCGGTAAGAGTCCGGCACACCCCCCCGTCGTCCCCACGGCGGCGTGGGAAGTCAATGAGGATTTCCATCGTGTTATAAAAGAAGAGGCATTACAAGTGCGTCCTTTTCGGAATTAGGAATTTGAGGATTGTTGGGGATTCAGGGATTGGAGAAGGGGGGTATAGTATGGCCTCTAGTAACCTCAATCACATCACGATATCCCATAGAGAAAAAGTACATTTCGACACTCCTTATCCTTACTAGTATCAAATCAGTGACCTTACACTAAAAACCTCATAATTATATACATACCTCTCCCTCCAGATCCAGGTCTGAGTGAGAACCTGGTGACCAGCATGGGGTACCGTCGCTCCACTATCTCCACGTCAGTGATGCGAGTGTTCGTCATGTGTGTGTGTACACCTCCTGAACCTTGCCAGCCGGGACCCTTGCCAAGAAGGAAATAATCATGTCAAAATTGAGTACTTACCAATTAGTCAAATTCAATACCTACTTTTTTCGAACTGTCAAAAACGATAGTTTTCTATGAATTTTGTTCGAGGTTGTGTGTGTATTGTGACGTCACGTTTTTTAACACCAAACGGTACACTTATTTCGTAAAGATGTGGTGGAAATATACTAAAATTAAGTTGGTCATAAAATCAATTAATGAAAATGTGATTATTTTTAATATTTTATTGTATTCAACAGTTGAAATAATTAATTTTTGATTAAGGAAAGTACCCAATTTGTAAACGCGCTAATCTCCGTAACTACAAGTCTGATTTGAATAATTATTTTTGTGTTGGATAGCGCTTTTATCGAGGATGGCTATAGGCTATAAAACATCACTCTACGACCAATAGGAGCTGAGCAGAGCGTGTGAAACCGCGCGGAAGTAGCTAGTATACATATAAAACTGTAGAATTTCTTTGTTTGTTTAAACGTGCTTATCTGCAGAACTAGTAACCCGATTTGAATAATTCCTTTTGTGTTGGGTAATGCATTTATCCAGAAAGGCTATAGGCTATCAAACATCATGATAAGATCAATAGGAGTCGACCAGAGCTTAAGAGGCTAATAATGTTATATTGAATATTATGGTTAATTATTTTTTGTTAGTTTATTTTAATGTTAGACAAATTTTAATAATGGACCTCCTTTTGTATAAAGTAATTTTATTTTGACATCTACCTTTAATGACATTTTTTTTCACTTAATATGAAATACCTTGTTTTATAGTATTAATTATTATAACTTCCATGTAAAAATTTTGCACGCCCGAATTGTGGGCAGAATAAGAGGGACTATAATTATAATGTGACCACTGTATACCTTATTCGGGCAAATAAATGATTTTTGATTTGATTTCATAATATACTCACAGCCCCACTTCCTCCGGCGACAGTTTCATAGTACCCCCAGTCCTCCTCGCCCAGCGTCAAGTTGTTCATACAACCTTGAGACGCTGCGCACACCTACACAAATAATAATACATTAATTTAAAAATTATATTAAAATCGGTGCATCCGTTTAGGAGCTACGATGCTACTGACATACATACATATATAATGTAAAGGTAAGTTTCATGATAAGCATCATATGAGTTTTGTGTCGACACAGATTTGATTTAATATTACGCCAAAAAAATCAATTTTACACCCTCTGTAAGTAAAACCATGAATAAGAAAAATCCTCATAATATTATCTATAAGTACAGATAAATAAGATTTTAATGTCTTTTTGTAATATTGAAGTAACCGCTTTTTACTACATGCATATGAATATACATGTTTGTCTGTTTGTTTGTTTGTACTGGCTAATGTATGGAACGGTTAAATCTATTTTAAAAGACTATTATTGGGAGTTAGCTGATCTAGTACTAAGGAGTAACATAGGCTACTTTTATTTTGGAAAATATAAACTAAAACTCATTAGCCGAGTGGTCGCAAGTGCGACTCCCGGGCAAGGGGTCTCGGGTTCGATTCCCGGGTCGGGCAAAGTATTACTGGGGTTTTTTTAAAAATCTCAGTAGTAGCACGGAGTCTGGAAATGTGCCCGGTATATGACAATAGGCTCACCCCCTATTACATGGGACTCATAACATAAATAGTGAAAAGTGGGTGTTACTTCTATGTGCACCTCTGCCTACCCCTTCGGGGATAAAAGGCGTGATGTTATGTTATGTTATAAACTAAAAAAAAATAGTATATTCTAAAATTCATAATCTACGCCGACGAAGACGCGGGTAATGTAAAGTATTACATAAAATACAAACCTGGAATGCTTTCAGCACGACATCAACAATGCGTTGTGAGGTAAGCACGTTGCCACCGACGACGGCCGCGTCATCTGACGGGTCCAGTATGGAACCCTCCGGGATTATCACCTTCACTGGGTTGAGGCAGCCCTGGAATAGTGTAACAACGTGGTAATACACATAAAAAAAGAAAGAAAGAATGAAAGAAAAACTTTATTTCACACGCTAAAACAGGTGACACATACAGATTTTACACATAAGTTTATATATATCTACTAATGTCCAATACTTTGACGCCTAAATTAAGGATATAATTTTAGTTTTTTTTTTACTTTCTTTTTATTTAATAGGTTAGTTGTAGTTAATTTTTAGTTGTAAATATTTATGTAGTTATATAAATTATGTTATTTACTTGTATGATTTAACTAATGTCCCAAGTCTGCGGTGAAATGGGACCAGTTCAGCATGTGCGAGACAGGGCCTTGCGCTGGTATTCTACTGGCCCTAAATCACATCAACATATGATTTACCATACATGCCCACTGCTGAGCAAAGGCCTCTTCTCACACGGAGAAGGTTAAGCATTAATCACCACGCTTGCTCAATGCAGATTGGCGATTTCAAACTTATAATTATAAATTTATAAGCCCAGGTTTCCTCACGATATTTTCCTTCACCGTTTGTCAGTGGTGTCTGAATAATCTTAGAAAGTGCATATCACTCGAAAAATGTCACATTGGTACTTGCCGTTGGTAGGTTTCGAACCCGCACTCTCATGCATGAGAAGCAGGCGTCTCAAACCTCCGGGCCACCACGACATAAATATGTATCTATATCTCTGTTAATAAATGATTTCCTACTATCATTTCGTCCATTCATAAGTTTTAACCGTAGTTTGGATTTATAGACCATGCCCCTAAAGGTTTTTAATTTATAAAAAAAGGAATCATAATGTTTTGCTTAGTATGGAAATAAAATGGAATGGAAGAATGAAAATCAATCAATCAATAAACAATGGCGTTAACAATGGGGGCTAAAGGCTCACATTAGCGCCATCTAGTGAGCACAGAAACGGTAGCCCCCATAATATAAATATTACAGTTACCTGGTTGAGTGGTACATCATGTCCGACCATACAGCGTAGACAGTATATGAGCGCGGATAGAGTGATGGCGCGCGGAGCGTTCAGGTTGCCCCATACTTCTACACCTGTACCGCTGTAGTATACATAAACATAATATTATTAAGTTACACTTAGTATTACTTACTGCTAATACAGGCACTCTTGAAGACGCAATTTTAGTTCTTAGAGAATTGTTTTAAACCAGATTAGCACTTGTGTAAACATGCTGTATAATAAGTATCAGTATCACTCGTATGAACATCCATATACAACTTGTATTATCATGCTGTATAATAAGTAGCGGTTGTATTAACAGCTGTATAATAAATAGCACATTTGTTAACATTTTTAATAATAAGTAGCACTTATCTTAACATTCTGTATAATAAATAGCACCTATATTAACAGCCTGTATACTATTTAGCGCTTGTGTAAACAGCCCTGTATATTAACTAGTACTCACGTGAAATCACAGATGGCGCTGCCCTCTTTTTCATCGAGAGTTATAGTGAGGTTGATTGGAGTTCCATTGTCCATGTACTCCGTCGCTTGTAATACTGAGGAACCGGTCTTTGATAGCGCGTTGCGGGCTATTTCCTGTAGATATATAGATATGGTTAATATTTCATAAAAAGTATACGGAAAAGAAGAAGAATATTAAATAAAGAATAGATCGAATTTACTGATAAAATTATAAGATTCCACACGAACCCGAATTGATTGTTGTATACTAGCTAAAGCTAATAAACTATTGTATGAAATCCATAATAAAATCTACACTTAAACGTCTGGGTACTTTTTTTATATTTGTTGGTCCGACATTTAACTACTATCTCGCCTGGTGGTAAGGGATGATGAGGTCTACGATGAAGCACGTCGTCCCATAAGCAACCTATTCACTCGGGCCTTGAAGACACCCAGGTTATACCCTTGAGGAAACACAGACTCTGGCAAAGAATTCCACTCCTTAGCAGTACACACAATAAAGCTTGATACTAAGCGCTTCGTGCGTGGGTGGGACATCTACCATGATATCTACTGAGTACGCTCAGGAAGTACACCATTTATTGATGTGAACGCTGTACAAAACCCATTCAGAAGTTTTTAGGTGTACCACATTTATACAGACACATAGACATGATAATGGGACTCATTTTTATACAATGTAGGGATAAGGTTATACGGGCCTGCGGGCGGCGAACACGGGTAACTCGCCGTCTGACCAGGGGGCTTACTCTTGAATCCAAGTCCGATCGATCGACATTGGTATTGTGAAATTTCGTACTCTTGAATTGCAACACTAGCACCTATTGCATCCGTATTGCGTGGATATTGAATGAACTAAATGATATTGAGTTTGGCTTTATATTCCGTACTCTGAACGCTATTGTAACAGCTACGATTGTGGTTGTATAGTTTTGACATTGAATAATTATTGACATTTTATTGGATTGAAATTGCATTGACATTGAGATTGGTTTCAAGAGTAAGCACCCAGAACCAGGTCCGAGCGTACGGCGCATCGCGTTCTACGCGCCTCAAGGAGCCATCAGACCACCACGGATAGGGCCCAACACTGCTGATGCCGATACGAAGCCGCGGAGGACTTAACGGGTTACCGGAGCTCCGGCTCGAAGTGCAGAAGGAACGGGGTGGTTTTTAGTCAGTAAGAGTCTGACACTCCCTCCCGCCTCACGCAGGCGGGAGCAGTCATTGGATAATTTTCGCCCCTTAAAAAAAGGGATAAGTTTATAAATATCTTACCCTCAGCATGTCCCTGACGGCGAGCTCTGCGTTGTTCTGTATGTGTGACATGTATGCTTGCGTCACATCCAGCCCGTACTCGCTGATCAGTTCGCCTACTAGTTGGATACCCTGCGATAATTATACAATATTAAATCAATTACAATAATATATTGTTATATAAGTAAACAAGGCGTCAATTGTGTCTTTAGAAAGTAACTTTTTTAAGAATAGAATTCTAGATACAATGCCATTGTATGTAAAAATAGTAGGTGTAATGTACACACAGCGCCATCTAGTACATTATATATCCAAAACAACTATTATGAAGATTGAGCACACATGAGAACCATACGCAGAGCTGTCTTCGAACAAATCATCATTCTACTAGCTAGAGGATCAAAGTTCGGTAGCCTAGCGGCCTTCTCTGAACCTAAGTACGACTAACTCCAGTGCGATAGCCTAGTGGTCTTCTGGAATTAGCCAGCTATCGTCTTTCAGACCTCCCCTTCGTCCCTTTCATCCCTCGACTTAGGGTTGCAACTATCTTGATTAGTTATAGTAAATTTATGTAACAGTAAAGTTGCCAATAAATAAATAATCATCAAGAACACCGGGGCTTTAATTTCACAACTAGCAACCCTACATAGGTATTGACCTATTATTATTAATGAGAACAGTGCTTGATTTGGCTATTGAACAAAGACTTTACTGATAAACTTACTAAAGAAATACAGTACAAAAAATACCAAAAATTGCACAAAGCTAAATACAGTCAAATATAACACTTACCCTTTGGTTAGCAGCGACCTGTGCTTTCAAATCTGATAGATTATCCGCTAAGTTCCGAGTGCCAGAGCATCCTGAAACCTTACCAGGCTTCATTAATTCTGTAACAATGCAGTATTGTTATAATTAATTTCACTTAGAATTGAATTGCTTATATGCAACGAGTGACTATGAGCCCCGGTTTGGCTTGAAACTAGTCGAGCATTCCCAAATTTTAACTCAAATTACTATTATTGAAAGTACTAGGTTTCCTCGTGGTTTCACCTGCACTGCTCGGCTCCTATTGGTCGTAGCGTGATGTTTTATAACCTTATAGCCTTACTCGATAAATGAGCTATCCAACACAAAAATAATTTTTTAAATCGGACCAGGAGTTCCTGAGATTAGCGCGCTCAAACAAACAACCAAACTTTTCAGTTTTATATAAAAAAATATATAAAGTTTAACGTTATTTTCTGTGATTTGGGTTCTGACATGATGTTAAATTTTTTTATGTTGACATGGATTTGAATATATACTTGAAATATTGATATAATGGTCTTATAACAAATTAATTAATTTCAGTCATTGGTGTAACCGTTGTAATTAATTAATAATATAAATAAATAAAAAAAATAAAAAGTAAAGATTTAAACTAACGACCAATTCTCTTCACACACCTTCAGTAAGCAGTTCCTCATTGAAGGTCCCGTCGTCGACCAATAGCGTGGACTTGAATGCAGCGCCCTCTTGCGACAGACTGACGGAGTGGGGCGGCATGGAGCCTGGCGTCAGGCCGCCTATGTCCGCGTGGTGGCCGCGGGATGCTACGTAGAATACTGGCTTCGGTTGTGACCTTAATAAAGATAAATTATCAAGATAATAAGTCGTGGTGGCCCGGTGGTTTAAGACGCCCACTTCTCATGCATGAGGGTGCGGGTTCGAATCCTACGAACGAAAGTGACAACGTCTTATAAATTGGTTTGCCGGGTGACACTTCAAGAAACTGCGTTACGCTCCGCCCACGTTATGCGCTCACAATGAGAGCGAGTGAGAGGCACGCGTCCCTTCCACTCGGGCATGGTTAGCCCGCCTAAGAGCGAGAGAGACAGACATAAAAAGTGAATTATTTCATCCTTCTTCCTACTATACGAATGAATATTCACATTAAAATTATTTTACCACTCAAAGTCGTTGTCACGTAAAACTTTCGCCCGTATACCGACTTTACAGGCAACCAATTTTTCAGAGTTATATGTACTTTTTAAGATTATTTAGACACCACTGACAAACGGTGAAGGGAAATATCGTGTGGAAACTTGGGCGTATAATATCTAATTACTCCAAACTTCCAAAGGATAGAGTGCATGTTACCGATTCTGTTGTTTTTTGAAGTTGTAATTATGAGAAAATAACTAGAAACTAAACTAAAATAGTGACAACTGTACTATTTGTCCTAGAAGTCTCACTATCTAATGAGTCTCAATGTCATACGATAAATATATACAATGAACTTACGGCCAGAACACAGGTGTAATAACAGTCAAGTCAGGTAGATGTGAGCCGCCCGCCTTCGGGTGGTTCGCGAGGTAGATCTGACCGGGCTTCATTGAGTCACCGCGCACTTTCATCTGGGGGGAAAAATAAATATTTATATTTTGCTAAGCCTATTTATTTACCATTTTTTTCTAGGTACTAACTAGCTAAAATCCTGGCAAAATTAATTAAAAATCTTCATAACCAAAATAAACGCCATGTTTCAATTTTAACTACCTAATAATTGCAGGTTACTCACATGAAAATACTGAGCAAAGCTCGACTAGTTTCGAGCCACAGAGGGACTCTTCCTCATGAGGAGCGTGCGCAGTCGCGGCGATGTCTCGCAGCCTACTGGCTAGTTTCAGCGTTTGCTTAGGTGATGTTACTCACGTTGTCAGTATATTCACGAGTTTTAGGTAATTTAGTATGTTTCACGATAAGTATTATAAAAACATGTTCCAATTTTATTCACAAACAAAATCGAACATTAGATGAAAAACGACATGATCACTCATGTCGTTTTTCATCTAATGTTCGATTTTTGAATCACAAAATCATGGTAGAATCGTAGAATGATCAGATCACCTGATACTGCACAGTTTCCTGCATGGCCCCGAGATGCACCGGTATGTGCGGGGCGTTGGACACGAGCCCGCCGTCAGCGCCGAACAGCGCGCACGAGAAGTCGAGGCGCTCCTTTATATTCACTGATATTGAAGTGCGTTGGAGCACTCTGTAGATAAACAATATTATTGTAAATTAACTAAAATCGCAGGGTACTCAGGTGAATATACTGAGAAAAACTCTACTAGTTTCGAACCACAGAGGGGTTCTTCCTCATTAGCAGCGTGCGCGGTCGCCGTTACAATAATATATTATAAAAATATTATTGTTACCCCAGTCAAAATATTTCCTATTATTTCAGCTCCTGAACTGATAATGGACAACAACAAGATAAACATTGTTTTTTTTTCTGGATAGGAAATGTTCGTGAAGTCACAGTAGAAAGGATACATCACACAGACCATCATCCACTTAATGCCACTGTACAATGTAACACCCAGTTTTCACTATTTATGAGTCCCATGTAATAGGGGGTAAGCCTATTGCCATATACCGGGCACAATTCTAGACTCCACTACTACTGAGAATTTTTTAAAAACCTTGTAGTACATACTATGCTCGACCCGGGAATCGAACCCGAGACCCCTTGCCCAGCAGTCGCAATTTCGACCAGTCGGCCAACGAGGCAGTCAATCTTCTTACTGATACAATACTACCCTAATCGCAATTACAGATGAATTTATTTTTAAATGATTTATTAATATATGCTGTAGTTTGTTTTTAGATACCCAATAGTAAGCTGTTTTTCAAGTCAAAACGTTAAAATGAATAAAGTAAAAATATACAAGTGTTTGCAAAAATAACTCTTATAACTGATAGTAAAAGTTCAATTTCTCTCACCTGCCCATCTGCTCAGCTATAGACATGAATCGATGGCTGAATATACTGAGCTGTATGGAGTCGAGCTCTGTGGTGATTCGCTTCGGCGCCCCCGTACCTATTACTATACGGATATCACCTAACTCCGTTATCTCGGCGCGACAATCTGTGAAGGGAAAATAATAAAAGTAAAGCAAGTATTATGGATACTTACGACCGAATACTGCAAAGCTACTCAATTTTAAATACGGTAGATGCCTAATTTTGATTTTAATGTCCGTCTGGTAGATTATTAGACACGTACTTTGTATTTTCTTACAGAAACGAATACTTTCGACGATATATTGAGATGAAATGTCGCGTGACGTCACTTCTATGTAAATTTTATACGTAGAAATGACGTTTTAGCCCCCACTCCTAAACTTTGATTCGTGTTATCTAAGTATTGTTTTATTATACGAGAAAATAAAAAAATACGTGTCTAATATGTTTTCATTATCTAACTTACGGACTAAATAGATTTTTAATTTTCATACCCCGTCATCATCCCAATTTGGTACTTTTGAAACGTTAGCAAATACAAATTAAATAATAGTCTGTCAGTCAGTCCGTCAGTGAAGCTAGCTGAAACTGGGTAAATTATTCATATTAAAATATTACTCATAGCTCTACACAACATTTAGCTCTACAAGACTATAAACGCAACCAACGCCATCTATCTATCGCAAAAATGACACAACATAGTATTTCAACGTACCTGGTTCGACAACAATAGTGGACAGTCCATCCATGATGATGGCAGGTCCTGGCACCACCTGCTCAGGTTTTAGCTTCTCCAGCAGGTATATCGAAGTCTCTTGGTAACCACCTTCGAAGTATACTTTTGTACTCTGGAAGATTTAATTAAAAATGATTGTAAATGATCACAAAGTGATTTAAACTGTCAAACACCGCGAGGACACCTGTGACCGCAACCTATTGTTCTAATTGTGTCTATAATGACGGTACTCAAAGGGTTAAGTGTGGGAGAGCCATGCTTCGGCATGAATGGGGCGGCTCGACCGGAGTGATACCACGGCATCACAGAAAACTGACGTGAAATAACGCTTGCGTTGTGTTTCTACGTGTGAGTGAGGTTACCGGAGGCCCAATTACCCGCCCCCCCTCCTTCCTTAATTTCCCCAATCCCTGAATCCCCAACAACCCTTAAACTCGTAATCATCAAAAGGCCGGTAACGCTCTTGTAATGCTTTGGTGTTCCAAGTGTCCATGGGCGACGCTGATTGCTTACCACCAGGTGACCCGTCTGCTCGTTTACCGGCTTATCCCATAAAAAGCAAAGTTATAATGATTTGTGTACTATATGAAAATAGTACACAAACGACTGCCTCGTTGGCCGAGTGGTCGCAAGTGCGACTGCCGGGCAAGGGGTCTCGGGTTCGATTCCCGGGCCGGGCAAAGTATTACTGGGTTTTTAAAAAAATTCTCAGTAGTAGCACGGAGTCTGGAATTGTGCCCGGTATATGGCAATGGGCTCACCCCCTATTACATGGGACTCATAACATAAATAGTGAAAAGTGGGTGTTACATTGTACAGTGGCATAATGTGCACCTCTGCCTACCCCTTCGGGGATAAAAGGCGTGATGTTATGTTATGAAATTAAATAATAAACTTAAAATAAGCTACAAATCTGCAAATCTGGAGTCGATTGCGGTTTATATTAAGCGATCGCTCACTGCGGCAACAAGAACAAAAAAAATTAATGTACTATTTGTGAATAGACAAATATATTTTCTAGGATCGACCAAGATGTTGCAATTGACTAACTTAATACATTATTTAAAGACAATTCTACTTCTGAACTACCTATCAGAACCTATTTTATAGTAAGACCTAGGTGGCGCTGTCATCGTTTTAAAGGCTTTGAAGCTGAATCTACATCAATTCATCGTCTGACAGCACTGCTAAGAATTTAAAATTATTTATTATCACGTTATTATTATCAAATTTAAACATTTACTCACTTTCTCCGGTACAGGTGTAGTTCCCTTACCAGAAGGTGGTGGGACCTCTTTAGGCACTGTGCTCATACCCACAGCACGTACTCTGACGTCATCCACGATTACATCACGCTCGTTTAGCTTGAAGCCAAACTCGTTTTGATATCTGAAAAGAGAGATTAGTTGAGAAGAGTGAAGATTTATAGCATCCTGCATAAATTTCTATTTATTGATGACAAGGTTCAGGAAACTGTGGCGACACAAAAATGATATTTAAATACCAAGATGTATGTGATAGACGAATGTTTCTATACATATCTATTAATATGAAATTACCTACACATGTACACTGTGTAAATGATAGTAGTGTCGATGTGTAGCGCTGCGAACTAATTATTGGTGTTTTGTGTACATAACCATACGGCCATCGATGAAAAATCACCGGTTGACGTCACAAAATCCTACATCGCACATGTTAGGTTTACATGCAAATTAACACGGATATAAAATCCCACCGGATATAACACCCACTTATCACTATTTATGTTATGAGTCCCATGTAATAGGGGGTGATCCTCATATACAGGGCACAATTTTAGACTCCGTGCTACTACAGAAATTTAAAAAAACGCCAGCAATAATTTGCCCGACCCCGAACCCGAGACCTTGGCCGTACTTACGACCGTCGTACTTACGACCACTAGGCCAACGACAAAGTCTCTTATTTCCTTACCTATTGACAAAAGCAGTATAGAAGTCTCCGTGTCTACAGGCGGTGTCCGACTGTACGTGTAGTGGAGCGACCATGAGTGCGCAGTCAGTGCCGGCGTATCGCAAGTGAAGGTACGGCTCCGTGACTATCTGGGACTCCGGGATACCCTGCGCGAGGATCAAGGTTTATATTCTATTTCTGTTTATCACTGATCTGTGCCTTTAGCCAAGCGCCACTTTAGCGCTTGTCTACAGAGAGAGTAGAAAACTAAATGTATGGGGATGACACTGACAAGTGTCAAAATTTACGTCAATTCCGTATAATTTAGTTTTCTATTCTACATGTAGACAATCGCTAAATGGCATTTGGCTACAGCTGCTGGTTTGAATGATTAAAGAAAAAATTGCAGCATAATACAATAAAAACAAAAAATATTATAACTTCAAAATTATTTAAGGTCGACCGGGGGCCTAATACGTTTCTCATGTATGAGGGTACTGTTCGAAACCTACCAACGGCAAGTACCAGTGTAACTTTTTCCAAGTTATATATACTTTCTAAGATTATTTAGACACCTCGGGCGAACGGTAAAAGAAAACATCGTGAGGAAACCTGGACTTATTATTTCTAACTATAAGTTTGAAATTGCCAACCCGCATTGAGCAAGCGTGGTGATTGATGATCAAACCTTTTCCGTGTGAGAAGAGGTTTGACTCAGCAGTGGGCATTTATAGGCTGTTGATGATAATGATGATGAAAATTGTTTACGGTGAGGTAGTTAAAAAATATTTTCATGTCTTGTTTCTTTTTAAAGAGTTAACTATTTTTCTGTATTTTTCCGTTCGCGCTTTTCTATCTCCATACTTAAAGTCTTCAAGTTGAAAACTTGAGTAGATGGCGTAATAGTCGAACAAAATCCATTATGTCTGCAATCGTATACACTTGCAACTAAAGTATACTAACCAACAACCAGAAATTTCTGAACTGTAATTATTAAAATTCTCATTTTCACTCAACAGATGGCGTTGCAATCGTTTAAGGGTCCACCAAAAATTACCTGTTTCTTCAGCTTGTCCTTCGCGACAGCGGCTAATAGGTCGAGCTGGTCATCCAGTTGCTTGAAGTGGTTGGGGTTGTATACCGCGGCGGCGGGGGACTGTTCCTCCTGGACTATGTGCGCTAGAGCCATGCCGTATGCTGATAGGATACCTAGGGAAACAATGGAGGAGTAAATTAGTGTATATGTACGGTCAAAAGTCCACCGTAAGACTACCATCGGTTGCGCTGCAAACTCAAACTCAAACTCAAAAGCATTTATTTCAATTAACACATAACTTGATACTTTTGAAACGTCAACAAATATAAAATAAATAATAGTCTGTCAGTCAATCCGTCAGTGAAGCTAGGCGCTCGTACCAAAATGTCCATTTGAGTGGAGAAGAACGAGCAAGAAACTCCATGCTGCAGCGTTAATACACACATGCATACGCATATTTTTATCCGTGTGCGTACGCGTGCGTGTGTTTATACGTACGCACACGTTTTTATGCACATTAATATGAAATTACTTACGCATTTCCGTGTAAACATCACTCACGGTGGCACCTTGACCTTTGACAGTACAGTGTGCCTATTTTTGTCATTTGATTTTGAGCTTGCCTCGTTGACCAATCGGTCACTTTTTGACCATTGACCATTGAAAATTCACTCTTACAAGTACACAAATCACACAGTAACATAATCCAGTGTTACTCACCAGCATATTTATGTATGAGTACAGTGCTGATCCCAAGTTGCCTGGCGACACTACAGGCGTGTTGTCCGCCGGCGCCGCCGAAGCATGCCAGCGCGTGCTGCGACGCGTCGTGGCCACGGGCTGTTGTTAGAGCCCTGTGTACGATAAAAGTACGGGTTATATACATGAAAAGTAATAAAATATGAATAAAAGAATGTCAGAATCGTAGCAATTGATAGCGTAGCATAGTCTTTGCCTACACCCATGAAAGACAGGTATGAAGTAATTAATGAATGAAGAAATAAACCAATATCTAAAAAAGAATGTCTAGTTCATCGTACAAAGTATTGGAGACCTTCAACATCTAAATAATTTAAGCACAAAATCCTTATTATAATAAATGGGAATGTGAGTTTGTTTGTTTATTTGTTTGTTCCGTTTTCACGCCGTAACTTCTAAACCGATTGCTTTGAATTTTTGCAGACGTAAAATTAGAAGTCCGGATTAAATAATAGGGTACTTTTTATACCGGAAAATTTTGGTATTCCCGAGGGAAAACAAAAGAATTGGTATAGATGGCGCTGTGTGTATTGGTATAGGCTACTTTTATCTTTTTGTAACGCGAGCGAAGCCGCGGGTAAAAGCTAGTAAACTATAATAACAAAACAACTTCACAGTCTTAGGACCGATGTTGGACTTAATTGGTGGATCATGAACTACAGAGAACAAATCTGTTAGTGATGAAAAGTATAACATGAATATTAAGAAAAAAAATCACAAATTAAATCTTATGCATACCTGATAGGTCTGCACATAGCTTCGTTGGCAACATTTATGAATCCCATAGCGACTTCTTCCATTGTCATCTAGAAAAAAATTATAAATAAGTGTTATAAAAGAATTCACCCTTACCTACCATAACTTTTAGTCATATCCAGTGTGCATTTACATAAGTTATGCTACAAATCCTGCTTAAATATGAGAGCAAAAATTGAGTCTTCAAAAGATAATACAAAGTTTCTAAGACCAATCAATACAATACCTCACTTCAAAAGTAAACTCGATAGTTACCTCTTTCCCGCCATCCTGCCTCAAGAAGCTGTTGATCTCATCCGTCATCTTCTTGAATGCAGTCACCGTCGCGTCCCTATCCAGCGGCTCGTTCTCAGACTTGCCAAAGATCTTCGGGAAGTATTCCGGTAGGAGACGGCCTGATAATGTGAAAATGTTCATTGCAAAAAATGTTGTTGAATTTAAGCAATAATTTAATTTTATTAATCTGTCAAACACCAAGCGGTCACCGGTGACCGCGACCTATTGTTCTTTAATTGTGTCTATAAAACCGGTACTCGACGAGTTAATTAAATTTATTCAATAAGAAGTTTGACTGTTTTCTCCCCTCGTCACTTCTCTATTTCTAATTTATTTCTGGCTTATAATTCTTCATAAATACTAGTAAATATCGTCACTGACGTTTAAAAACAAGATAGATAATTACATATTTATGTTTTTGTATGTAATAGTTGAAATAAGCGTTTTGTTTTAATTCTCCACCGTTCTCTCACTTCCCTCTTTCTCTCTTCTCTCCTGTATTTCATTGCCTCTTTAATTACCTATGTATTTTTTTTACATTCTCTCTTTACTGCCTTTCCCGCTTCTTACTTTTTCTCTCCCAATTTTACACTTATCAAACTTCTCTCACGTACAACGTATTCATAACTACTTACCGAGCAACAAATTAGCATCAGTAACAGTAAGCGGGCCCCCCTTCCTATAGCAGGCAGGGCCGGGCTCCGCGCCCGCAGACTCGGGCCCCGCCACGAACAGGCCGGACCGGAACATTAACATGGACCCACCGCCGGCCGCTACAGTGTTGATATCTGAAGATAGAAAGAAGATAATATAGTAAAAATTTCAAATAAATATATGTGAAATAAAGAGATATCTTCATTTTTCGTCCTGTTGCACTGGTCATGCAACCATTAAAATGATTCAATGGTTGTCAACTTGTACACATTGCACAGTATAAATTTGCAAAGGAGACAATTTTTTATATTTAATGTTCTGTTTAATATAGTTTCTTTTTTATGCTTATCTCTGCATGTAATGTATAAATAGTAGTAAATAGATTTCCTTTCTTTCTTTCAAATGTATACCTAGTTGCGGTGCCTGTATAGTGACCCCAGCAGTGGTTGCCTCGTGGACATGTTCCAACGTGCCAGCGTATCTAGACACGTCCGTCGAAGTACCACCCATGTCGAAACCTGCAATAAAACGATAAGTTTACCTGTTGTGGAACTCCCAGTAATATACATTTTATTAAATGTACACAAATCTTGTTAATAGTCTACCTATGACTGGAAGCCCAGTTTCCTTTTGGTATGCTGTCATGGCGTATCCAACAACACCTCCCGCAGGTCCGGAGAGAATCGCTCTTGATCCGTTGAACCTGAAGATAAATTACAGTAAGAATGAATACCCATAAATTAAGCTCATGGCTAAACTAAACCAATATTTGCGTATTTATAAACCATAAACTTATGTCTGTTACCAAACATAAGACTCGGTAAAAAATATATCAACATAGCCTAGAAATCAAATCCCACCAACCTCCTCAGCATTCATAATTTCAATGGAACATACGAAACAATTTATACACTCACATACATAAAAGTACAATTCTAAATCCCGTTTACAGAAATAATATCATTCCATATTAAAGAAAATAATTAAATACAATATGAAACTCACAAATTCATAGGAGTAAGTCCACCATCAGATTGCATAAACAGCACATTCGCATCTTTCAGTCCTCCGGAGAATCCGTCAGCGAATCCTCTCACGTACTCCCTGATGTGAGGAGTGAGGTACGCGTCAGCTGATGCTGTGAAGCCTCGCGGTACTATACGGACCATGGAAGTGATTGCGTGTGACAGAGATACCTGCTTGAAGCCTGAAATGGAAATATCACTATATATATATAATTCCGATTTTGATGCAATTTTTGTGTGTGTTCAAGGGGATCTGGGAATGGTTTAGATTCACAAATCAGCCCGGCAGATGGCTCTGCAGTCGATGTTTAGTTTATTTATCCTAAACAGCTGAACTAATTTGAATGAATTTTTGTTTATACATTCAAGTGGATATGGACAACGTCTGTTGGGTCCGCTAGTATAGTACATATAAAACAAAGTCACTATCCGCCGTCTGTCTGTCCCTATGTATGCTTAGATCTTTAAAACTACTGGAAATCTGGATTTTGATGAGGTTTTTTTAGTAGAAAGAGTGATTCTTAAGGAAGGTATAATGTATCCATATTGCACCCGTGCAAAGCCTGGGCGGGTCGCTAGTACTTATGATAAAAGAATAACCGATACCAGTGCCCTACAATAACGAATTTTAAAACACTCGTCATTTATTAAACTTTAAGTTATGCCTAAAGACGTTAAAAAAGGCGAACATAAATAACACACAATATCAGTGAGTTATTTATGTGTGCGTGTGTAATGGGCTACCACGTTACCACACTTAAGGAAATGACAGATGTCCTTCGTGTCAATGTGTGTGTTCTGCGTGTAAGTCTATAGTAGCCAGGTGCCACAGTCGTTGTTTCAGGAGACTGTGTCAGACTTTTTCACCGTCTTTGGGTATACCACTTTTAATAGACTATTACCAAAAAGGGGACATTTGATAGAAAACTAAAGGATGAATGAGACTAACAAAGAATTACAAAATGTTATAAAAACATCTAATGTGCAGTGTTTTTTTAAGGGAGGAAAATCATCGAATGACTTCTCCCGCCTGGGTGAGGTGGGAGGGAGTGTCGGACTCTTACTGACTCAGAACCACCCCGTTCCTACTCCTGCCCTTCGAGCCGGAGCCCCGATAACCCGTTAGGTTCTCCGCGACTCCGTATCGGTATTAGCCCTATTGGGCCCCATCTGTGGTGGTCTGATGGCTCTTTCAGGCGCGCGCGGAACGCGACGTGTATTAGTGCCTATATAAGTCAAAATTGCTTTAAAACATTCTCGATTCCACCGAAACTTACCAATTTCATCAGCAATCTTTCCGATCCTGATCTCATGGTCGTGGTAAGTGTAACTATGAGCTAACACCACAGCTATACTCTCAATTCCCTTCTGTTTTAAAGCCAGAAGATCTTTCTTTACTTTTTCTTCTTCCAAGTCTTTCACGACTAACATCTTCTCTCCCGTAGTTCCTACTACTTCTTTCCAGTTCTTTCCAGATTTGTCCATTTGACATCTGTCTTCTAGAGCCGGTATTACGCGGCAGTCTACCTCTATTACTTCTGTGTATAGCACACCTGGACGTTTGATGTCCTGAAAGTGAATTAGTGATGATGATCTACATATAAAACTATGATTTATATCTTACTAAAATATAAAACATTATTTTAAGGACCCATTTTCTTTAAAAGCAAATTGAAGATGAATCCTGCATAGTTACTGTTCTTTGTTTGACTACTGTTCAAATATTTCATGATATTATATCAATACGGCTTTAGTTCTGGGCTCTGGGGTTTAGAGAGTAAGGCAAAAAACATTCAAGATGCCATTTTAATATAAATATGCTATAGAACAATGCCCGCCTCTAAAATAAAGTCTATAACTATGGAGTTTTTTATATGGATAAAAAAGGACCAATAGGTTAGTACCTATATCAAAATACGATACGACCTTCAAACCTTCAAGAAAATAGCGTATTCCTTTTTAAAAGGCATAAGACTCCTCTGGTATGGTGGGTGTATATAGGCGGCGCTGAACGCTCACCATCAGGTGATCCGTCTGCTCATTTGGTTCCTATTTCATAAAAAAAATCAAAACTATACAAGTAATACTTACCAGCTGAAATATATGCGGCCTAGCTTGATTACCAATATACATTAGGTCTTTGAAACCTTTATTGATGATAAGTGCCATTTTAGCGCCCTTCCTCTCAAGTAATGCATTAGTGGCCACTGTTGTGCCCATCCTTATCGACTCTATGAGGGATGCATCGACTTTGCCATCTGCATTTAATGCTTTGCCTGTTTCCTAAAACAAGAAATACGGTCATATTTATTCGTATTACAAGAGTGAATCGTTGATCTAGTGGTCTTATGCTAGCTACGGAAGGGTACTCCAGCTCGAAGAGGAGTAGGAACGGTGTGGTTTTTAGTTAGTAAGAGTCTGACCCTCCCTCTCGCCTAAACTAATGCGGGAGACATACCAAAATGTAGCGTGATATGTGATTTATAACAAAAAAAATATGAGACTTCAAACTTAGCAAATTATTATTCTAATCATGATGTATTATACAATAACGAAATAGGTAGGTACTACTGAATATTATTTTAAGTAAGTCATTGTTTTCTTAAAAACAAAAGGTTCATAATTCAGTACAGGATGCTCTTAATTCGTATTATGTAACAATTCTTACTATGACACTAATATAATAGATGGGAATAACTCCATAGTTGTGTTCAAATGAAAATATGATGTGATGATGTCATGCCTAAGTTATAAGTTAGTTAAAGATAGGGTTTGTCTGTGTGTGACTTCGTGACTATGCGAATTAGATCATGATAAGAGCTCTGATAAGAAGATACGAGTATCTGCGGAATATTTTGCAAAATACTGAGAGATATCGAGTCATCCTTGACAGTGACATTCTTTATTCTTTTTCAATTTTAAACACGGTTTATTCTGTAATTTACGTAGGTACTGATGTTTTAGTCTGTGATTTATTTCGAACTTTTTGAGTAACTTAAAGAAACATTAATCTGCTAAGTACAATGTTTTTTTTTCATATTGAACGGAAGTTTCGGAGATAGCATTAAAACAAAATAAAAACAACTCATTATTTTCTTAGTAGCGGAGAATAAAAACGTAATTCAAAATTGATTATAATAATTCCTATATAGGTCAAACTTGCATTGAGTTATACCGGAGCAAAATATTGGTATCTGGAGAAAATCATTCTATTTTAACCATGGCAGATGTTGATTACTCAGGTATTAGGCTTGTTTTAATCTGACACTGACGGCGCACCGTCAGCGCTGAGGGCCAGGATATATGAGTATATGAACTCCGAGGAAGTGTATTTGAATATCGCATAGCTCTCTTCACGCGCGGTATATAGAAGTTTATACATTTTTGGCTATCAGCGCCGACAGTCAGCGTGCGGTCAGCACGACTCTTAAACCAAGCCTATAAGTAGGTAAAATTATAACTATGCATATGATATAGTAAACTTCCTCCACTTACCTCTTGCAATATCCTCCTGATAGCTTCTCTGGGTGCGTCATCATAATTCTGAGGGTCCACTGAGAGCAGTTTCATGACCCGAACCTTCCCACTCGGACAGCGAGCGTACACATCTGTGAAGGTACCGCCACGATCTATGGCGAACTGGAATCCGTTTTGTGGTGCCATTACAACGTGGAACTGGAAAGATGAGATAAATAAACCCTTTATTGTGTACTATTTTAAAGTTGCAGTCATAAAAACATTCTAGCATTTGTTGTATAATGGGTCAGTCTTATCGCTTTCGCTAGCAGCGATCTTCTAGGCGACCATGGATGAATTATTTAATGCCATAATGGCACATGCGGAAACATTCATGGTTACTTTATCAATATAGTTAGGCAGGTGATTACCATCTGGGCCCCAGCTTAAAAGGGGCCCAATTGTACCCAAATCCCACCCTGTGTACATTTTTCAAGGATAGTTTGATTTTAGCCACTGATGTCGTTAAAAATAAAGAAATCTTAATATTATTATATCATCAGACTGCCTCGTTTGCCGCAATCGCTACTGCCGGGCAAGATCTCGGGTTCGATTCCCGGGTCAGGCAATATTGGTCGGGTATTACTGGGATTTTTCAAAAAAACTCAGTAGTAGCACGGAGTCTGTAATTGTGCCCGGTAAATGGCAATAGGTTCACCCCCTATTACATGGGACACATAACATAAATAGTGAAAAGTGGGTGTTACACTGTACAGTGGCATTAAGTGCCGTAATGTACACCTGCCTACCGCTTCGGGATAAAAGGCGTGATGTTGCGTTATTATATCATCACTACTAGACAATACTAGACATTAATATGATTCAAACGGAACATTCAATTTTGGAAAACAAAAAACAATTAATCAAGTTATAAACTAATTTAAACTGTCAAACACCAAGCGGTCACCGGTGACCGCGACCTATTGTTGTTTAATTGTGTCTATAAAACCGGTACTCGACGAGTTAAGATCCAAACACGGACTGCGAAATAGCTTTATCTATTTACATATTTGCAAAGCGCGTCACCTTAAGACGGCCTCTTTCAATTGCCTACTAGGTCAATGGACTATGCCTAAACATATTTCCTGTTCAAATTCATTGTGCCTATAAAGCCAAAGAAGATTCGTTACTTAGTGTACATATAGGTAATAAATACAGATAAATAAAATTGTAGTGTCTGTTTGTTATATTGAAATAATCGCTTTTTACTACATGCATCTGAATATACGATACCTATACCAATATAAGATTTTTAAAATTTTTGTCTGTCTGTCTGTTTGTAATGGCTGATCTCTGAAATGGTGGGTCCGATTTTGACGGGATTTACTGGCAGGTAGGCAGTTGATATACCAAGGTACTCCTTCTACTATATTACTATATAGGTGTCGCGGAGAACCTAACGGGTTACCAGGGCTCTGGCTCGACGTGCAGAAGAAGGAACGGGGTGCTTTTTAGTCAGTAAGAGTCTGACACTCCCTCACACCTCACCCAGGCGGGAAAGGTACCCCGCCTAACCAAAAGGAGTAGGTAATAATTTATTACCAAACTAAAAATTACCTTTATTACTAATAAAGGTAATTTTTATTTTGGATAATTGAAACAAAAAAAGTTATGTCCTAAAACTCATATTATACGCGCATTAAGTCGCGGGTAACAGCTAGCTAGTCTATCTTCTATAATATATAAATTAATCGCTGAATGTGTTGCTAAGCGCAAATATGGAGAGCAGCTGAACAGATTTCACTCATTATTTTATTGTTAGTTTTGGTATTGTTAGGAGAACGTTAACGAAAAATAAATAATTCGCAAAAACATTTCTACGGCTATATAAAGTTCGCGGGTATCGCTAGTGTCGGGAAGATAGAAATGAAGCCCGAAATACGTCTTGTAAAAATCCCAAAGCATAAATACAGGGTCGGACTTGGTTGGAGGTTGGCCGTAGGGGGCCCCAGTAACCTCTGTTGGCATTAGTAGTAGCTATGAGGGTGCATAGATGTAATACCTAACAGTAGGTTATTAAGTAGGTATTGCCTACACCATGTCATTTTCCTTAACTAGGGAAAATCACCAAGGAAAACTTAGACAGATGAATAGCACCTAATCAATAAGACAGTAACTATGAATGAATCACTTTTTTAATGTATTTTCCTAGCTAAGTACAAGTGCTAGGTAAATATGTTATTTTCTATTATAATAATTAATAGTTAATACTATAATAATGAGGAAAAAGATTGCTTGTTTCTTTGTTAGCATTTTAATAGGCTCTGAAACTTTTAGAGTGATGCGAAAAGGTATTTCCTCCTTGGATTCTTTATCACTACATAGTATAAAAAAAGTCGCTATCCACCGTCTGTCTGTCCCTATGTGTATGCTTAAATCTTTGAAACTACGCAACAGATTTTGATGCGGTTTTTTTAATAGATAGAGTGATTCAAGAGGAAGGTTTATATGTCTAATACATACATATTGCACGCGTGCGAAGCCGGGGTGGGTCGCTAGTTAGGAAATAACGTAGGATACTTTTTACAGACTTCAAAAAAAGGAGGATGTACTATGTTCAGCTGATTGTTTTTTTTTTTATATACTAATATTTCTATAGACTGCCGAGTTTTTGCCGAGTGGTGGCAACTGCGACTGCCGGGCAAGGCGTCTCGGGTTCGTTTCCGGGTCAGTCAAAGTATAACTGAGGTTTAAAAAAATCTCAGTAGTAGCACGGAGTCTGGAAATGTGTCCGGTACATGGCAATAGGCTCACCCCCTATTACATGGGACTCATAACATAAACAGTGAAAAGTGGGTGTTACATTCTACAGTGGCATTAAGTGCCGTAATGTGCACCTCTGCCTACCCCTTCAGGTATAAAAGTCGTGATGTTATGTGTATGTATTTCTATAGGATCTGGACCTGCTTAAGATAAGAGATAGCTTCTTAATCACATACAGACACAATTACATGCTCTATGTCAACTTATAAATCGATGTATTTTAGACTTTATTGCATAGTCATAGAGTTTGGAATTTATTAACAACAATATGAGTTATATTTATTAATATTTGATTTTTAATATGTTTTGACCTTTATTCTAGTTTTAGTTGTAAATATTACTTTGTAAATAAAATGTTTTATATTATGATGTGGTAATAAAGTTAAAAAATAGAAACTGCAAAACAATATGCCGCATGCAATCTACAATGGACCTGGAACATGGTTACATCAATTCATAATCACTAATTTCTAACTTGATTAGTTTGTCCAATTAATGCGGTGAGTATCATTTGACCTTTGCCTCTAAACATGACGGACCAAATTTTTTAACTTAATATTTAAACTGTATAATATCTTAATATTTTAAGCAACATATTTTATTATTCTTCCAGTTAAAAATCGAATACAAGAATTTAAAACAATCAAAATTTAAACCTTATTTCTGAATTTTCTCTTCGTCTTTAGGTAAAAAACGGCCAGTAGCAGAACATAAATATAATAAAAAAAATATAGGAGTACTTATTTAACAATGGCTCAGCTGTGGCTTTGAAAAGCATGCTTGTCTGCTAGCTTGAAACATGGTCAATTATTTGAATAGTTTGAGTAAAGAACTTCAATGTCTTATTCAATCAATCATCATTTGCAAACTTCGTCATTCGATCATTGCTAAGTAATTACCTATTGAGTTAAAAAAAATACCAAAAATAGTGACATAGACACAGTGGGCAGCAAGTTAACCTACCTATTCTTTTTTGTCAAATATCTTTATTGAATTATCAACTCTAGTAACTAAGTATTACATAAAGTCGAAAATCCATTGACAAAAATTGACACATAGAAGAAAGTTGATGTACTGGCCACTGTACTACAGAATACTACTGTACTAAATAAAAGTCTCAGCTATACAGCCTCATTTATACCTACTTTATTAATTTCATCAAAGAATATTACATAATCTCCAAGATATTTGTACATAAATAAACACCAGTAGAACACAGTAACTACATTATTAACTTGTCAGATAAGAGATGAAATAGATATCATTGTTCTGAAAATATTTATTAGCATTGACTCTTCATCGTAAACTAGATCTTAAAATCTGAAAAATATGGTTGACATTTGTTTGGGATACAATGACAAACAGCTATTTCATTTATTTTATTAGAATTTGTTTAAATTAATAATTATGACAGAGTTGTGTATTTAGAATTGCAGTGTTTTTCAGTGAATTGATACTTAATTTTTAGTTTTATGTTCATGATTGTGATTAATTGAATAGGTATAAATTATTACCTAGGCATACAGAAATGAAGTTCATAGCCTAACATTAAAGTTATAGTGTATTAAAAGTTATGCAGATGCACACTATATAAATAAATTATTTATTAAAAAAAAATTGCGGTAGACACTAAACATTTTTTTTACTCAAGGACGTATAAAAATATTATTGTTAGGTACCAAAAACATATGTTCTAATTAGATTCTAATAACCATTATCTAAAAGAAATTGACAAGATACAGGAACCTCGCGTAGTAACAGACCAAAAAAAAAATTAATAAAAATCTTTAAACTATAAAAAATATTTTTTATAACCATAGGTGCAGTGTGAAGAAAAGAGTTACTAAAATTCAAGATTATCAATACAACAGCAGAATTTTGCAACTCACCGTTTATCACAAACTCGAATAACGTAAATATTTATTTCGGTACGTCTTCACTTCACCACTCGTTGCAATAAACTTATCAAAAACAAAAGTCAACCTCAAATAACAATTAATAGTACGCGACCTAATCACAAATCTATTTATTTCTTTCGCACTTTGCGAATTATGACATTTTTGTCCTTCTCTAAAATTGACAATTTCATTGATAAGCCCTTGAACGCGACTCTTTTCAGCTGAGTTTAGTTGAGCTATTGTGATCTTTATTATTAGTAGTTATAAGAGTTTAAATGTAACTGCATTAAATTTTCACTCCGATTATGTATCATGTCATTTTTTTATTATTTACACGAGGTTTAAAAATAGGAATTAATTATACTGATTAAATAAATTTTACGTGAATTTTTCAATTTTAATGAAAATAGTTTTTATGACTTTTTTTTTAAAGTTTGAATTCAGTAAGATTTGGATTGTATTATTGAACGCATCCATAAACATAAC